TTATATATATATATATATATATATATATATATATATATATATATATATATATATATATATAATAACAACAAAATTAAAAGTGATAACTTATGATAAAAATTATAATAAGATCTTCTAATCTCATGGAAAAATATATATTTCTTTGAATGATATTTTCTCTATACTTTTGCAAACTGGCAAGGTTAGTCTTCCTTTGATCTAATTACCAGATTTCTAATTCGGGACCGCTCCTATAAGTGGCACCAGCATCCTTTGCCTCTTGTATACTTTGCAAAATTCTTCTGGTATTTCCGTCGAAGTCCATCGCCCATTGGTTTAATGTGCAAACGGCAACGGTCACCGTACGTCCCATGTCGAATGATTTTTCACTATTCACTGTATTCTTTAGGCGAGACTCGCGAATGCTTTTATCTGGAATTAATAAATGCTCTAATTTTGACTTAATATAAATGCTCTAATTTTGACTTAATATACGTTAGAAATTTGTAATTAGTGCTGCAAGATAATTATGTAAGTGTTAAAATTTATTATTATTTACTCAATTAGCATTTCTATAATATTCATAAAGAAATAGTAAAGTAATATCAAAATAATTCAAAGATCATTCTTATAATAAAAATAATAATAAATGTTTATATCAAATATAAAAATATTGTTATATAATTTAAATATAAAATTAATATATCTATGAACATTCATAAACATTTATAAAAATGTTTATGAATGTTTATGAATGTTATGAATGTTAAAAACACACACATATATTTATAATACTTAAAAATTACAATGCAAATACTATTTATGTGATAAAAAGAAAAAAGATATGATAAAAAGAATGATGTGATAAAAAGAATAAATTGGTCGAACAAATGGTACAACGAACTGGAGCGCGAGAAAATCTGACAGTTCAATTTGAGAATCGCGTTAATGCCCCGAAATTATCGTTTCGATTTACGATACCATTATTATCATGACTGTCCGACTGTTAAAAGTCAGTGGTCGCGTGTACGCCTGATGGACGGCAGTTTGCCAGCAAATTCTATCAATTGGAATCCCATCGATCGTTCCGAGATGATAAACTGTGTTCCGTTCTCCTGAATCCGGCGCGCGTTGATTGATCAATAATCCAGAAAACCCGGCACGGCCAGGTAGACCGACCACTTTCTGCACGTAACAACTTTTACATAGTTATGCATTATGACTTCTTCACATTTTTATTTTTTCAGAACATTACTTCATAATTATTAAAATTTGACAATAGCGTTGGAGGTTACTTCAAACATCAAAAACATAACAGAAGGAAAGAAAATAGCCTCTAAGAAACATCCAGATAAGAAAAGATAAGTAAATAAAAAATTTTACAATCAAATCGCACTTTACTTATCGCTACCTTAAATGACATTCTTAATTAATAATATAATAAAAATTATAGAACAATTAAATGATTCTTCGTATAATAATAGCATTTTTTATTTTTTATTAATAAAACTTATTGAAAAATGCCGCCTTCTTAAAATGCTTATCTCTCGCCTGCGACAACAAGCTGAACATTAAAATAGAACATCAATGACACATTGATGGGCAATTATAATTAATGCTCCATGCTCCAAAAATAATCACTAAGAAAGAAAAACTTTGATCAACAGCCACGCTTCTCTCTCTCTCTCTTTTTCTCTTTCTCTCCTTCTCTTCAGATTGACACGTTTCCTCCGATCGTGTCTATTATCGCGCTTCAAACGGAACTCTCTTCGCAGATTTCTGACCGGCGAGCTCCTACGGGTTTACCTCGGAAACGTCGATAGAACGAATCGAGTTTCCGAGCACGACGAGATATTATGTCGATGAGCCGCGCCGGCGGCCTTCTGGAACGAGGAGCGGTTAACGAACGATCGTTCCGGGCGTAGCTCCGCCCACGATTCGCGACGGTTGTCAAGCAATCATCCAGGGAACATTTCACTGAAAGTCTTGAGCAACGGGCGAGGTTTCTTTCCACCAGGTCGAAGCTACCCCCAAGTTCCGTGGAGCTCCTAGTATAACTTGCACCCTCTCGTCGGCACCCACCTCAGCGAATTGCTTTCTACTCGGTGCTCCCCCGATACCACCGAATTATTCGATCACTTGAACGATTTGTTATTTGTACGATTCTTCGATTAATTAGTGAGAGTTAATAATAAAAAAAAATATATATATATATATATATATATATATATATAATAAAGAA